GGCTATTAATAGAGCTCTGGCTGAACAAAATACACCAGTTACATATACGTTTGATAAGACACTCCATAAGACGTTCATTCTCGGTAATGGGCAGCAGAGATTAAGTATTGACCAGCCATGGGGGAGCATTATCCCAGATAAATTATTTATTATGATGATGGATATGGAAGCAATATCAGGAGCGTATACACTTAATCCACTTTATTTCGATCACTGCGATTTATCTAATGTATATATTACACGTGATGGGACAAACTTATTTAATATAACTTGCAAGTTCCCGAATAAATGTTCGAAACTATACTACGAGACTCAAATACAGTAGGCTTTAATGCTTGTAATACCTTGACATATAATTCTTTTATAAAAGGAAGAACATTACTGGCATTTAGACTAACGCCTGAGGAATTGAGAGATACCCTTCCTATAGAGGCTTCGGGCAACCTGAGAATTACATTAGAATTTGCTGTTCCAGCGAAATCAAATAAAGTTATTATTTTATTCGGAATTACAACGGGAGTATTGAGAATTTATTCCGATAGGCGAGTTGTGTGTGATACAAGAGCATGAACTGCAAACAATTAATACGGCATTGAACGATATGAAAGGTAGTAAAGCTAAATATATTGGATGCTATTTAGCGACGGATATATATAGAATAATGAAGCAAATACGGGACAGGCCGATTATGTTTATAATAAATACCTTAGGAAGAGACTCTAAGGAAGTAATGGGTCACTGGATTGCTGTATATAAATCTAAACGGAAAATAGTTATACTCGATTCATATGGAATAAATGTGTATTCGCCATACATTTCGGAGTTTTTAAATTATTATAAGACTGTGATGTATACACGTTTACAGAGAGACTTCAGAGTTTAAATACTTACGTATGCGGGCTATATGCGATGTTTTTCTGTTACCATCTTTCAAACAAGGATCTAAAAACTGCAATAAAGCTATTTGAAACTAGTTTTACTTATGGAGAATATATGCAGAATGATAGGAACGTAATGAGGCTATCTTATGCTTTATTTAAAAATATGCCGAGCTGCTATGAAACGCTGTGTTATGATAAGAGCGATATTTGTTGGAAAATGTGCTTGGAGACGACTGGCTGAATGAGGCTATAACAAATTATCTAATGGAAAATGGTGAGTACATTTGTTTTGAGGTTTTATGTGTATGATAAATATTGTACATGTGTAAACGCTATCTGAAACTGTTATTCTTTATTACAGAGATGAAGAGTGAATAGGACGGATATTATACAAGCGGATTGAGGAGCGAGCTTCTTAGAACTTCGGGCTAAATGAGTTGTTTATTATAATTGTGTAAACTATGAATTAGATGACTAAATAAATTATAAATAAATAAATAAATAAGTTTTATTAACGCTTAATGTATATATATATAAATTATTACGGTGGCGAACGCCGACAATGACTGGTAGATGTCTGGGCAGGTAATCAGGTGATGATTGCCTCGGGCAGATAGCCTGGGGCAGGTAGCTGGGGCCAGCTTAGATAGTCTCTGAGGCAGTTTTCAGTATTAAAGGTTACATTGAGATGCTTTCGGTTGATTTGTATAAAACTGACTGTTAATGAAAAGGGAATAAAATATTAGTATGTCAGAAAATAGGAAGAGGGAATAATATGAAGAGGAGAGAGAGAGAGGAGGGAGAGAGAGAGAGAGAGAGGAGGGACGGTCCAGATATTACGATAAGATAAGATAAGATTAAGAGCCGACTGGCTGGCTGGCTGGCTGACGTCTAAAGTAAATACAGGTGAGGCGACAGATTGCGAGTCAAGGGGGGAGGGAGGGGGTGTGATGTACGAGACTTGAAAACCCTGACTTACACAGGTGATTTTTCTAAATTTATATGAATAACTAAGGCTTACATAGACGATTTTGTAAGTTGAAAACATGTAAAATATGTCCGTAGAGTTCTCCTGGAAGCCCTAAAGTGCTACACACGTTATTTGAATTTCTCCCATAAGGCTTTAACAAACTTCTAAGTCTCGGAAATTATTTTTCTCATAAGAAATCCTTACTTCTAAAATCTGCGACTGACAAAATTTACCTGAAAACCCCCAAGTGCTATACACGATTTTCTAAATTTACCTGAAACCCTTGGGGCGCACAGGCACTTTTTTTCCCAGAAAAAAAAAATGTTCTGTGGCATGTCATCCCTACTACTTGGGACATGCTGTCATACACCAGTGTTGGGTCATGTGGTCATTCACCAGTGTTGGGACATGCTGTCATTCACCAGTGTTGGGACATGCTGTCATTCACCAGTGTTGGGACATGCTGTCATTCACCAGTGTTGGGTCATGTGGTCATTCACCAGTGTTGGGACATGCTGTCATTCACCAGTGTTGGGTCATGTGGTCATTCACCAGTGTTGGGACATGCTGTCATTCACCAGGGTTGGGACATGCTGTCATTCACCAGTGTTGGGACATGCTGTCATACACCAGTGTTGGGACATGTGGTCATTCACCAGTGTTGGGACATGTGGTCATTCACCAGTGTTGGAACATGCTGTCATTCACCAGTGTTGGGACATGCTGTCATTCACCAATGTTGGGTCATGTGGTCTTTCACCAGTCTTGGGACATGCTGTCATTCACCAGTGTTGGGTCATGTGGTCATTCACCAGTGTTGGGACATGCTGTCATTCACCAGTGTTGGGTCATGCTGTCATTCACCAGTGTTGGGACATGCTGTCATTCACCAGTGTTGGGACATGCTGTCATTCACCAGTGTTGGGTCATGTGGTCTTTCACCAGTGTTGGGACATGCTGTCATTCACCAGTGTTGGGACATGCTGTCATTCACCAGTGTTGGGACATGCTGTCATTCACCAGTGTTGGGTCATGCTGTCATTCACCAGTGTTGGGACATGCTGTCATTCACCAGTGTTGGGACATGCTGTCATTCACCAGTGTTGGGACATGCTGTCATTCACCAGTGTTGGGTCATGTGGTCATTCACCAGTGTTGGGACATGCTGTCATTCACCAGTGTTGGGACATGCTGTCATTCACCAGTGTTGGGACATGCTGTCATTCACCAGTGTTGGGTCATGTGGTCATTCACCAGTGTTGGGACATGCTGTCATTCACCAGTGTTGGGTCATGTGGTCATTCACCAGTGTTGGGACATGCTGTCATTCACCAGTGTTGGGACATGTGGTCATTCACCAGTGTTGGGTCATGTGGTCATTCACCAGTGTTGGGACATGCTGTCATTCACCAGTGTTGGGACATGCTGTCATTCACCAGTGTTGGGACATGCTGTCATTCACTAGTGTTGGGTCATGTGGTCATTCACCAGTGCTGGGACATGCTGTCATTCACCAGTGTTGGGTCATGTGGTCATTCACCAGTGTTGGGACATGCTGTCATTCACCAGTGTTGGGTCATGTGGTCTTTCACCAGTGTTGGGACATGCTGTCATTCACCAGTGTTGGGACATGTGGTCATTCACCAGTGTTGGGACATGCTGTCATTCACCAGTTGGGACATGCTGTCATTCACCAGTGTTGGGACATGCTGTCATTCACCAGTGTTGGGTCATGCTGTCATTCACCAGTGTTGGGACATGTGGTCATTCACCAGTGTTGGGACATGCTGTCATTCACCAGTGTTGGGACATGCTGTCATTCACCAGTGTTGGGACATGCTGTCATTCACCAGTGTTGGGACATGCTGTCATTCACCAGTGTTGGGACATGCTGTCATTCACCAGTGTTGGGACATGCTGTCATTCACCAGTGTTGGGTCATGTGGTCTTTCACCAGGGTTGGGACATGCTGTCATTCACCAGTGTTGGGTCATGTGGTCTTTCACCAGTGTTGGGACATGTGGTCATTCACCAGTGTTGGGACATGCTGTCATTCACCAGTGTTGGGACATGCTGTCATTCACCAGTGTTGGGACATGCTGTTATTCACCAGTGTTGGGACATGTTGTCATACACCAGGGTTGGGACATGTTGTCATACACCAGGGTTGGGACATGTTGTCATACACCAGGGTTGGGACATGCTGTCATACACCAGGGTTGGGACATGCTGTCATTCACCAGTGTTGGGACATGCTGTCATACACCAGGGTTGGGACATGCTGTCATACACCAGGGTTGGGACATGCTGTCATTCACCAGGGTTGGGACATGCTGTCATACACCAGGGTTGGGACATGCTGTCATACACCAGGGTTGGGACATGCTGTCATACACCAGGGTTGGGACATGCTGTCATACACCAGGGTTGGGACATGCTGTCATACACCAGGGTTGGGACATGCTGTCATACACCAGGGTTGGGACATGCTGTCATACACCAGGGTTGGGACATGTTGTCATACACCAGGGTTGGGACATGCTGTCATACACCAGGGTTGGGACATGCTGTCATACACCAGGGTTGGGACATGCTGTCATTCACCAGTGTTGGGACATGCTGTCATACACCAGGGTTGGGACATGCTGTCATACACCAGGGTTGGGACATGCTGTCATACACCAGTGTTGGCTCATGCTGTCATTCACCAGGGTTGGGACATGCTGTCATTCACCAGGGTTGGGACATGCTGTCATACACCAGGGTTGGGACATGTTACATTGGGTAATTATCCCTGAATTTACATGACGGTCAATATCTCCCTAGTATCTTCGATGAGCACAGTAAGCCCGCGGCTTGTCAAAGGTCCTTCCATTTATTCTAAAATAATCGAGTTATTTTTGCGGTTAATAAGACAATGTTTTTAATTTTTCATATATATATATATTATGGTAACAAATATGTGCTTAGTATGTAAAACATATAACATACTTATCAATACGAATATCACACTGGAATATTGGCTTAACTTTTCACACTGAGTAAGAAGTCACAGGCACATATATTCTCTCTTATAAAAATATACTTAATAATACATGGTAACAAGATTGCCATTGAGCTGGTGACTACGTAGTAATGAATAGGGCACATGTTTGTACATAGTCGCAATCTACATCAAATTTGTACATTGGTCAACACCCGCAACATTATATTAAACATTAATAATTTGTTATACAAACAATTAGGGACAATTTTGGACAGAAGATGGCGTTTGATGATCAATTTCACAAATTTGATCTTTGACGTTTCTTGTTACTGACGGAGAGGAGGTCGAGGGCCCAGAGGAGACCTCTTCAGATGACGAGACTTCCATTGTGGCTATCGTCGTCGACCGGAGGTGCCTGACGATGGGGCCTCTGATGGGGTCCTCTAGCGTTTCCGAATCCGCAACACCCCCTATGTGAGAGACTGCGGCAAGAGCTGCCGCAGCGGTGACGGCGGCCGTGGCTGCGGCAGTGGCAGTGACGGCAGTGTCAGTGGGCAGCCGGGCCTCGTGCACGGTGGGCAGTATTCTTGGCGTGATTCTCCGGAAGTGCCTGGGGCTCTGGTACGCCGGGGGACACTGTAGGTACTCCCGTGCCGCTGCGCCCACGGCCTGCTGCAGCTGGCTGCTGACGGAGGTCACGTAGACCGGGGGAGTGACCGAGGACATCGCCGACGTCAGTGTGGCGAGCTTGACGGTCTCCGTGACGACGGTGAAGTAGGCCGGGGGAGGAGCCTCCGTCTTCATCACTTCGTCGTAAGTAGGCGGACAATCGTCGAGCTTCTCTCCGGCCTCGGCGGGCCGGATGTGGGCCAGCACTCGCAGGCGGATCTGCAACACAAGACAACATTGTTCAGACACTTGTGTACACCATTTGCATAATTTATTATTACTCTCAGAGTCACTACTGATAACATTCCTGCTTTACTTATTTATTTATTTCTATACAGGAAGGTACATTGGCATTATGAGAGTACAGAGTATTGAAGCTTTACACTCTTGTAAAGCCACTAGTACACACAGCGTTTTGAGCAGGTCCTTAATCTAACAGAATTTTAAGAAGGTCATTTCTAGCAAAATTACAACAATGTTTACAGGTACATTGTAAGGAAGAAAATAAATGCATTGTAAGAGTATAAAAAAAATTGTATTAGAAATTTGTCAGGATTAGTAAGTACATTAAAGTAAATTTAAGGGTTATCCACAGGTACATTGTAGCATACTTTGAGGATTATGTCAAGGTATAATCTAGAAGCAATGATCTATGATCAAGTACAACTCAAACCGAACTTGCAGGCATATACCTTGCCACTGAATTTTTAAAAGACAAAGGCAGTGGACTTATATACTGTGACTCGCAGAGTGCACTTCTGGCATTGAACGCACATAGTAGTGACACCCAGAAAATAGTCAGTGATATTCGATTGAATGTTTTAGCTGCCAAAGAAAACAGATTTGAGATTAAATTCCTATGGATACCATCACATGTTGTCATCTCAAGGCATGACACTGTTGATATGCTTGCTAAGACAGCCTGCAGGAAACCAGTGGTAGATATTGATTTGGGTGTTTCATTAGCAGTGACAAAGAGAATACTTAAACAAATATCTAATGAAGATCTCACCGACCTAACAAATTCACAAAGACCTGAAAGTTGTAGCATTAAATATTATGATAGATATCGTGTGGAGACATTCACATATGGGACTAATAGAACAAGAACCCGGCAATGTGATGTTATAGTGGCCAGAATACGCCTGGGATATAGACGTATCTGGCAGCTTTCTCAAAACCCAAATGTCGAGTACACAATGTGTCAACTTTGTGAAAGAGAAAACATGCACTCTCTTGAACATAATATTGTAGAATGTCCCATACTGACTGACTTTCGCCCTCCTGGACTAAGGTATGCTGAACTCTGTAATTACTATATGAGTACTGGAACACTTGATGATATATTGGACTTGTATCCAAGATTGACCATGTAATATATCAATTATACAATGTATATATATGATGTAACTATATAACCTGAGCTTGTAAAAGCACCTTCATCACCTTCAGTGATTAAGTGCTTAATTGCACACTAGTTTCTTTATCAGCTATCTCACCCTGTCAGAGTAAATGAGACAAATGTATGTGAATGCATGTGTGTGTGTGTATATATGTATATGTGTGTGTGTGTATGTATATGTATGGGTATAAAGTATATATGGAAGCTGATCAGAATTACATTTCACCTTTGTGAATGTACATTAATGACACTATGTAAAAGACACATCTAACACTTTATGTAGGGCATACGTAAATCTGTGTATCTATGTATTTACGTATGTAGGTTAGCTTAGCATTTTAAAAGCACCGAATCACCTTCTGTGGTTGAGTGTTCAATAAACCCTTGAACTATATGTTTAACACTTCTCTAACCCTGTCCATGGAGGACAGAAGAAAATGTATATATGCTGGTTAGCATTGTAAATGTCTGGCCACGTCTGTGGTAGAAAAAAAAAATGCTTTTCTCCAGTACCTCTCCGCCTCCTCCTCATACTTCCACACATCTTGCTAAACATATTGATCCGTCCTGCTATTTATTAACTCAAGATATTATTATTATTATTATTATTATTATTATTATTATTATTATTGTGGAATATGGCTGTGCTTGCATTCCACAATGCTATTTATTGTATTATAAAAGTTTTGTTATTGGATATCTTCTTTTGCTATATTATAACATTATTTTACCCTAGTTGAAGCCTCGCGGCCCCTGGGAGTGGAGTTATGATAAATATAACTATTATTACTATTATACCTATATACCCCGGTCAATATTTTATTATAATTATCATAAACGTAAGTAACAAAAAATACATTATATATGTAAGGAGTGCTATAATCTCCCTGCTGCTGCTGCTGCTGCTGCTGCTATCTTTACTGCTTCCACTACAGCTGTTGCGTCTATCACTGCTTCCACTACTCTTGTCTCTCGTTCACTACCGCTGCTAGCATCGTAAGTCTTGTTACTGATGCTGCTAATAGGCTACTAAACCTAGTACTGCTACTACTACTCTTGCTACTGCTATTAATCTGGCTAATTTTGCTACTATAGGGGATTAATCTTAATATTCTACCAATCTTGCTCCTACAGGCTACTAATCCCGCGTATTGTGCTTGTCGCGCTGCTAGCGTGGTTGTTACAATCACTGCTGATAACACAACTGTACTTTTGGCGGGAATGTACCTGTGTGGGCCCTAAGCCTCTGGCCGCCCTACTCTAGGCGCTGTGTCCCAGGCGGTGGATGAGTATTTATGACTCGTATGATGGCTTCAGTTAGATCCACCCCGGATATGATCCACTTCTGTGTTGTTAAGTCTCACAGTGTTTCGGGTTTGTAACTGTGCGCTGTGTTAAGGTAATGTTCCAGTGGTGTGTCGGGCCTTCCTGTACAATGTTGACATGTCCTCTCATCTTCTGGAACCAGTAAGCCTATTTCCCATGCACGTGGGGTGTTCAAGCCTGGTGTAAAGTGTACTTCTGTTCTTTTACTGCTCCCTTCATCCCTTCATGCAGGTCGGCGTTCAATCCCCGACCGTCCATACGTGATTGGGCATTATTCCTTTTCCCCCGTCCCATCCCAAATCCTTATCCTGACTCTCTTTCCAGTGCTATATAGTCGTAATGGCTTGGCGCTTTCCCTGATAATGCCCTCGTGGTTGGTTCACATCTTGCAGCATCTTGCAGATGTTGACGTGTCAACGTCTTGTAGATGTTGACGTGTGAACGTCTTGCAGATGTTGACGTGTCAACGTCTTGTAGATGTTGACGTGTGAACGTCTTGCAGATGTTGACGTGTCAACGTCTTGTAGATGTTGACGTGTGAACGTTTTGCAGATGTTGATGTGTCAATGTCTTGTAGATGTTGACGTGTCAACGTCTTGCAGATGTTGACGTGTGAACGTCTTGCAGATGTTGACGTGTGAACGTCTTGCAGATGTTGATGTGTCAATGTCTTGTAGATGTTGACGTGTCAACGTCTTGCAGATGTTGACGTGTGAACGTCTTGCAGATGTTGATGTGTCAATGTCTTGTAGATGTTGACGTGTCAACGTCTTGTAGATGTTGACGTGTCAACGTCTTGCAGATGTTGACGTGTCAACGTCTTGTAGATGTTGACGTGTGAACGTCTTGCAGATGTTGATGTGTCAATGTCTTGTAGATGTTGACGTGTCAACGTCTTGCAGATGTTGACGTGTGAACGTCTTGCAGATGTTGATGTGTCAATGTCTTGTAGATGTTGACGTGTCAACGTCTTGCAGATGTTGACGTGTGAACGTCTTGCAGATGTTGACGTGTGAACGTCTTGCAGATGTTGATGTGTCAATGTCTTGTAGATGTTGACGTGTCAACGTCTTGCAGATGTTGACGTGTGAACGTCTTGCAGATGTTGATGTGTCAATGTCTTGTAGATGTTGACGTGTCAACGTCTTGCAGATGTTGACGTGTGAACGTCTTGCAGATGTTGACGTGTGAACGTCTTGCAGATGTTGATGTGTCAACGTCTTGCAGATGTTGATGTGTCAACGTCTTGTAGATGTTGACGTGTCAACGTCTTGCAGATGTTGATGTGTCAACGTCTTGCAGATGTTGATGTGTCAACGTCTTGTAGATGTTGACGTGTCAACGTCTTGTAGATGTTGACGTGTCAACGTCTTGCAGATGTTGATGTGTCAATGTCTTGTAGATGTTGACGTGTCAACGTCTTGTAGATGTTGACGTGTGAACGTCTTGCAGATGTTGACGTGTCAACGTCTTGCAGATGTTGATGTGTCAACGTCTTGTAGATGTTGACGTGTCAACGTCTTGCAGATGTTGACGTGTCAACGTCTTGTAGATGTTGATGTGTTAACACCTGCATTAAGGTCACTGTGCATCTTCTGCATTGTTCTCGGTGTAGTTATCATCTACATCTGTGATAGACTGTGGTATGTAAATGTCTATCATTCCTCCTCTCAGTTGCAGCTTCCTCTGTAACGTGTCTCCTGTTAAAGACTTAAATTTCAAAACATTAACTTAAAGTTCCTGAATTTACCTGGCGAGGGTAGGAAGCCGGCGGCTTGTCAGAGGTCCAGCCCATGCATTTTTAATTAAAAAACAATTGTTCAACTGTATTCTGAACTCGTGTAATGTCAAGGTGCCGGCGGGTAGGCGGTTTTCACCCTTAGGGTTTATAGCCCTAAGGGTGAGGAGAGCATGTCCTGTGTTGAGGCCTCTTGTGTTGACGTTGGTGAGCCGCGTGCGCGCGCGCGTGTGTGTGTGTGTGTGTGTGTGTGTGTGTGTGTGTGTGTGTGTGTGTGTGTGTGTGTGTGTGTGTGTGTGTGTGTGCGCGCGCGCGCGCGTGCGTGTGTGTATTCACCTAGTTGTGTGTGTGTGTGTGTTCACTAGCCTAGTCTCGTGTTCATTTGTATATATGATGTAATACTGTTTTATTTTATATAAGGTTTATGTGTACAGCGTCCAGCATGTAGCCACACACAGATAACGGTCAAGGGTTATGTACTGTTGACAGCTTCAACAGTAAACACAAACATGAACAACAACAACACACATGAAATTGACAAAAAAACAATCAACATGTTCTTGGCGCCTGTTAATGTCCTTATATTGACTACTTTAGGCCTATCATACGGTAAATCAGGCCCATCATACGCTAAATCCGGCCAAGGATACGCTAATTCAGGCCTATCATACGCTAAATCAGGCCTAGGATACGCTAAATCAGGCCTAGGATACGCTAAATCAGGCCTAGGATACGCTAAATCAGGCCTAGGAT